GAAGCTTCACGTGCTTCAGATATGCATGTAAATAGACAGATCTGCCTTTTTAAAAATTATTCAATTCTTAGGATACATTAAAATTTGGAAGGACTATCCTGGCAGTCCAGTGGTTAAGACTCCACACTCCCAGTGCAGGGGGCATGGGTTTGATCCCTGGTTGGGGAACTAAGATCCCGCATGCCGTGCAGCGCCACCAAAAACAAAAAAAACAAAAAAAACCTGGATGTATTTTCCTTGCCCAGGATACTTGAGTCTTTGCATGTGGCTGGAGTGGGCAACATCATGGGTCAGCCTGTGATTTAAACGGCTCCTTGCAAAGGGCATTAACAGGTAATCGTGAAACAGAGCTGGTCAACACATATTTGGAATTCAGCTCCACTGCTAGTAATCAAAGACTTACAAATTAGATGTGAAAAATGAATTTTTCTTACATATCTTAAAATAACAAGGTTTGCATTTTGGGTTTTTTTAAATTATTAATAGTCCATATTGGCAATGGTGTAATTAGATGGCCAGAGGACTGAATATTGATACAGCCTTTAAGGAAAGCAATTTGTCATCATACTTCAAAAGACTCATGCCCTTTGACCCAGTAATTCTTCTTAAGGATATGCATTCTAGAAATATCAGAGTTGGAGACAAATGGTTACCACGAAAATGTTTATGAGACTGTTACTTATAAAATTGGAAATAATCTAAGTATTTAACACTAGGGGAAGATATAGGTAATCTATAGTTCATTCATGAAATGGAATGTTATACAGACATTAAAAGTATGTTAACTTAAAAAATAAAATAATATGGGAAAATGCTTATATCATAAAACTATTAGAAGAAAGATCTAAAGTATATATGCAGAATCCTTTCATGTATAAAAAACTGTGCAAAATAAAAGATCAGAAGAATAAACATCAAAATATGGATAGCAAAATCACCTCTCCTGAAGTGAGGAAACAGGTCTAAGGTGATTGTTTTTTCCCTTTTTTATCCTAATATTTTCCAATGTTTCTTAAATTGAACATGTATTTTAACAAAAAGAATAATAAATCTTTTGAAATATGGCATGCACAATCCACAAACTATAATTCTCCCGTGAATTATTGAGGCCTTAAGAGTTTTTCTAAAACTAACAAAAATTAAGGTGATAAACATCCAAACGTGGGGAAGCAGGTACACTGATGCATTGCTTGGGACACTATAAATTACTCCACCTTTCTGAAGAGTAATCTCACAATATGTAACACGCACCGCAAAATTGTTCCTACCCTTTGACCTAGTAATTCCACTTGGAAATAACCCCCCAAGGAAATAAGTACAGAAGAGGAAAAAGTAGCATGTTCAAAGACATTCGTTGAGGTGCCATTTATAATCATAAAAGATTGGAAACAGGGACTTCCCTGGTGGCGCAGTGGTTAAGAATCCGCCTGCCAATGCAGGGGACGCGGGTTCGAGCCCTGGTCCGGGAAGATCCCACATGCCGCAGAGCAACTAAGCCCGTGCGCCACAACTACTGAGCCTGCGCTCTAGAGCCCGCAAGCCACAACTACTGAAGCCTGCGCACCTAGAGCCCATGCTCCACAACAAGAGAAGCCACCGCAATGAGAAGCCCGCGCACCACAACGAAGAGTAGCCCCCGCTCACCGCAACTAGAGAAAGCCCGCGCACAGCAACAGACCCAATGCAGCCAAAATTAAATAAATATATATATATATAAAATAATTTTTTAAAAAATTGGAAACAATCTAGGTGCCCACCATAAAAAATGGTATATAAATCCTGAAACTGACAAGTAAGCAGGTCTTGTCCAGATGCGGAAATGTTTCTAAGAACAGTGAAATGGAAAAAACTGGATATGACAGTTTTTTGGAACTGGAAAGACTGGATATGACAGACACACTGACTATAACTTGTCAGACTATAACTCTGCAGAAATACAGACGGATTGTGTAGGACAAAGATTAGAGAACTTGGAAGAAGTAAACAGTGGCGGGTTTGGTGTCCTCGCTCTTCTGGAAAGTTCGTTTCCTAAATCGTAAAACCTGCTTTGCCCAGAACTGGAGACTCTCTTAACAGTTTTATGAAAGAGGCCACATGGGGAGAAACACTTGCTCCAATTAGACTCACTTTCCATGGATGAAGAGGATCACCGGGACCATGAGATGGAACTGAAAGTCATTGGCAAGATACCACGTCTAGCCGTTGCACCGGAAAGAAACCAGCAAAGGTCACTTCTCTCCTTCATGTACCAGCTCTGCTCCGCATCGGTTCACCTTCCTGGACCAGGAGGAGGAACTCAGCAGGCGGGTGGGCGAAATTTCCACGGGAATAGAAAGGACTTTGAGTTACAGACATTTCACATACCTCATCTCAGCTAATTGTTACAACAATCCCGGGGGAGTAGATATTATTACCATTTTACAAACTGGAAATTCAGACAACTTTTCTCTCTTGTTAAAAACAACAATAATAGCTAATCTCCCAGGACAGTGGTGGGAACTAAATTCCATCACGCTTCACGGATGTAAGGATTAATTATCCTTACGGTGCTCTGGAGTCAGAGGGTCGACATTATTCTCTCTTCCTTGCCTTCCTGCCCTCCCGCAACTCCAGGTGGAGAGAATGTGATCATTTAGAACGGAGGCCTGGCTGCAGGCGAGCTTTTATGGGAAACCCCAAAGGTCCCACGCATGATTGACAGGAGATCGGCCGGCCAAAGCCACCAGGCCGGCCAAAGCCACCAGGCGGTTACCTGTATTTCTAACTCAATGTGAGGCAATTCCTGCGGGCAGTTCTCTCCAGGGCTTCAGAGATAAAAGGCGCCTTGGCCTCCCCTCCCACGCCCTCGGCCCCAGGGAGACCAGACTTATCCAAGACAAGTGACAGCTTTCCTTGTCCCACGTGTGGCCCAAGCCAGTCTGACTCTGGGAAAACAGCCCAGCCTCTCCTCCTGGACCCCATCACAGACGTGGGTCCACCTGAAGGCAGTTAGACAGTGATGTACACCCCCTCGAAGCTGCTGGGCACTTGTGAACTAGAGGCAGCCGTCTGGTTGGCCAGCGGTTATGCAGCCGTGCTGTAGCGATGCTCCTTTCAGCTGTGCTTTCAAGGCGAAAGCAGTGACATGGTTTAATTACAGCTATTTCAATTCCAGTTGCTCCAGGCTCATTAGGAGGAAACTAGGGCTTTAAGGAAGCCATGACCAACATATACAGACGTTGTTGCTCTGTCAGAACCTGCTGGGCATGGGATAGAATTCATTCTGGGGAGGGGGTGGTGCCACGTTCCGTCTCATTACTGGTTCTCTGGGCGGAGGTGAAGAAAGTGTCCTTCCCCCTGGGGCGACATGGACCCTGATGGAGCAGCTGCATCCAGGGCAGGCACCGAGATGGCTGTCCCCCCAGACCCACTCCCCTGCCCCCGCTCCACTTTCACAGCAAGTGCCCCGTCAGGGATGGTGCCGTAACTCCCACCCCATCACCAGAGGCTAGTCTTCCCACCCACAGCATCACTATTACTCCAGAGAATATGCCAGAAGAAAGCGGATCAGACTCAGGTTGGCTCTGGGAAAGTTCACCAGACCATGTGAAGGGAGACACCGGATTGCACCTCTCTGCCCTTTCACGGCCAATGACTTAAAACTCACGGCATCCTGGACCGACAGGAAGTTATCTAGCAACAGCAAATTCGGCCACCACGCTTGCTGGCGGTTCTCCAGGTGGAACTCGGGCACTTCCCAGACGGGTCTCCAGGGCACAAGGGACAATGATCTAACTGAAAGCACGCTGAATACAGGTGAAGAGGCTGCAACCTGGCAGGAAAAAGCTGGGCGAGAGGGTGACTCTCCACAGAGGTTCCATTCAGTCCCCTGGGTGGGCACATAGCGATGACAGATAAGATGTTCGAAAACAGATTGTACTGCGTGGGCGACCACCTCCCCACACACACCCCCAAACCTGCATACATTTGTGGGTTCAAAAGCTTTTCTTGAGCACCTGTCATGTGCTGGCGCAGGTGCTACTTATGCAAAACTACTGTTATTCACTGAGCAAGTCGTACGTGTCAGCCACTGTGCTAGGAGGTTCCTAAACCTCGAAATACTCCTGTCAGGTAACTATGATCTCGATTCGACTAATGAGGAAATTATAGCTCAGAGAAGTTTGAGTCACTTGCCCCATATGGTCCAACCACATAGCAGTACTGAGATCTGACATTGCTGCGTGCTCCCTCCACGAGGCCTCCCGAGATGAAAATCACGTTCCAGTCTCCCTTTTCTCCTCCCTCCCTTCCTCACTTTATTTCTTCCTTCCTTCCCTCATACACTACCTGCTTCCAAGCAGGATTTGCAGCAGCTACAATGATGATGAATAAGGCACCAGATGTCTAGACCGGGGCTGTTCAATAGAATGTAATTGGAGACAAGTCGGCCACTTGGTTAACATCTTCTAGTGGCCACATTTTAAAAAGTCAAAAGTACGGGCTTCCCTGGTGGCGCAGTGGTTGAGAGTCCGCCTGCCCTACCATGCTGCAGAAAGAATCAATGACTTAGAAGACAGGCCATTTGAAATGACCCTTTCAGAGAAGCAGAAAGAAAAAAAGAATTAAAAATAGAAAAATAAGCCTATAGGACACAAATAAAAGAAGCAATAAAAACATTATGGGAATTCCAGAAGGAAAAGAGAAAGAAAAAGGGAAAGAAAGCATAGTAAAAACAATAATGGTTGGAAACTTTCAAAACCTGGGGAGAGAGATGGACATCCAGATACATGAGGCCCTAAGGATCCCAAATAGGTTGAACCTAAATAATGCAACAAAAAAAAAAAAAAAAAAAAAAATGTCAAAAGTACAACTAATTTTAATAACATACTTTTTTAGCCAATATATTCAAAATATTATCATTTCAACAGATAACCAATATAAAAAAATATTGAGCTATTTTACATTATTTTTCTTGTACTGAGTCTTTGTTTAGCCGCACCACATGGCTTGCGGGATCTCAGTTCCCGGGCCAGGGATTGAACCCAGACCACGGCAGTGAGAGTGCAGAGTCCTAACCACTAGACCACCAGGGAACTCCCTTACCAAGTCTTTAAAAGCTGGTGTGTATTATACATTTGTAGTACATCTCGCTGGTCCACCCGTGTCTGGTGGCCCCTATTGGACACCGTGGGAGGCACGTGCAATTCTGGCGTGGATTCTGGGTGGGCCTCCATCAGAGCCCTCTTTTTTTAAGGAACATACGTAAGACTGCAGGTCTGTGCAACAAGGATAGAGCACGTGGCCCAGCAACACCTCTGAACATCTCGGAAGGGGCGTCAGGGCCTAGGGTGGAGTATGACAGACAGGGAGGGCAGGGCAGGGCTGCTGGAGGAGCACCCCCCGCAGAGATAGGGGTCGGCACCCTGCCTCTGGCCTGCACCCAGGCCCGGGCCTGTGGGGCTCTTCTCTCCCCCACAGTGATGACATCCTTCACAGAGAGCGCCAGGTGGGCAGGGGAGCGGTGGGTATTGGGGAACAGAGCTGAAATTGCTGACCAGATTTGGAGAGAAAGGACGCCAGCTATGCCAAGATGCAACTCCCCAGATCAGCTCAGGCGATAGCCACAGAGCCCTCAGTGGGTTCTGGGTCCTGCCAGATGAGGCATCTGACCACGCTGCTTTGCAGCTGCTCCCACAGGCCTCGGGCTCTCACCTCCCGGCCTCCCTTCCCACCATCTGTCCCTTCCATCTCCCCAGAGAGAGGAAGTCAGCCCCCTGCTCCCCTCTGAACCAGAGTTCAGGTCAGATGTCCTCAGGAGAGGGCAGGGTAGAGGCCAGTGTCCAGCCCCAGGCAGCCTCCGAGCTGGGGCCAGTGGGGGTGGGTGGAGGCTGCTGGGTGGACCGTGCCTGGGGAGGTACAGGGAAAGGAACGTGAAACATGATTTCTAGTTTTGTCTAAATTTTTCACACTGAGAAAATCATTTAATTTCTCCCTTTGCTCTTCTGTGGAAAAGGGGGCCGATGGTTCCTTAAATTCTTCTAAGAAGGAGCATGATTCCTGCCTCCTAAGATTTTCTGAGAATGAAAGGAGATCAATAAGAAAACTGAAACGTGGGAAGCGTCATATAAATGTACCTGCGCTTCATTTATGTCCGAGCTTGAAGATTTAAAGTCAAAGTGGGTTTTCAAAGATTAAAAAGTGTGACACCAGCCAGTGTCGTGGGGGTGTGAGAAGCAGGCCTTCTCGTACCTGGCGGGTGGGAAAGTCCATTGGAAGATATCCATCAGAACGTTAGATGCACCAAATCATGGATTCCACTTGTAGGAATTTACCCTGCAGACATGCCCAGACAACTGCGCAAAAATGTATAGACTTTGCATCATCGTCTAAGATTGCAAAAAACTTGGAAATTACCTTCACGCCCATTCATGGGGACCGGTTAAATACGTGATGGATGGGCCACCCACATGGCGCCATCCCAGGCAACCTTAAAATCAGTGAGGTGAGCCCTTTCATGCAAATAGAGAAATATGCCAGCACTAAATCATTAAATGAAAAAAGCTATGTGCAAAATAATGCTGCATTATGTGTAATCCTATTCATGGGGACAGGGTAGGGGGTGGGGAAAGTACATGTAAACAATACGTGGAAAATCCCTGCAAGAATGAATTCATAAGAAACTGTTAACACAGGTGTCCTGTGGGAGGTGAGACTGGAAGGGGTGCCTTTATTTTTAGTACATGACCTCTGTTTTAGTTAGACATTATTATCAACAATTTTTTAAATCTACTAAACTGATTTTTAACTTGTGGCTCCTAGTTGGAATAATCACACAGCTGTAAGGGTCTGGAGCCTCTACTCTCCTCGTTCCCATGAGATAACATCTGTAAGGGTTTACGCCCAGAAACTGGGTTTTTGCCTTTTCTATAACTTGCAGTAGCCCGCACTTGGGCCCCCCTCTTCTGCCCTCTCCTCAGTCTATTCTCTGCCCTGAGGCCAGAGTGATGCTTGCAAAATGTAAATCTGACCATGCCACTCCCCAGAGGAATCCTCCGAAGGCTTCTGCTCTCAGAATAAATGGAAAGTCCTAAAGACAGCCCACTGGCCCTACAGACCTGGGCCATCTGCTCCCCTCCCCTCCCCTCCACCTGTCTGCCCTCATTCCTTCTGCTCTCCAAGACACTTGCTCCACTCTGGCACCTCTGGGCTCTTTGAGATTCTGAAAACACATCAACCACGGCTCCCTCCTCAGGATATTTGCTCTTGGTTCCCTTCCATGGATCCTTCTTTGCTCACGGAATTTTTTTTGCTTAGAACATTCCTTTAATTCCTTCAGGGTTCTCGATAAATGTCACCTTCCCTGACTACCTTTCCAGAGGAAGACCCTCTGTCTTGCTTCCTTCTCCAAATTATCACTTTGTGGCTCTTATCATCACCGACCTATTATAAATGGATTTGCATATTGCAACTTAGTGTTGCATATTTGTTTATTTACCTATTGTCTATCTCTAGTCACTAGACTGTAACCCCCATGCCAGAGGCACTTGCATGGCTTTTCAACTGCTGAATCCTCAGAGCCTAGAACAGTGCCTGGTACATAGTGGACCCTCAATAAATACAGAAAGAGCGAGTGAGCAAATGATCTTACTTCCACTCTTCTTGGAGTTAAAAAGGTAAGTAATAAATCATAATTGAGTAAGAACAGTGAGTCTTGCCATCATGAATGAGAACATCAGAACAGCTAGGAGCATGGCTGCTTTTTCACTGGGTTTACCTTAAAGAGGGTGTTTTAAGGTTGGTGATGCTTCCCTTATTTTTCTTTTGTGTGTGTGTTCATTTTGTTTTGTTTTTGGTGTGTTTGCTTTTTTAGCCACACCACTCGGATTGTGGGATCTTAGCTCCTCAACCAGGGATTGAACCTGGGCCCTCGGCAGTGACAAAGTTTTGTCCCGCGTTGGACTCACCCTCTTCCTGGCTCCCATCTGGCACTCTTCCAGCGCTCCCCATCTCAAGAATTCATTACCATCCTCCATGTCGCTTGAGCTGGAAAATCTGAGTGTCCTTGATCGGCCCCCTCTCCATTCCCACTGCCCATTGCCAGTGCACGTCCTGCAACAAGTTACTCACTGGGATCCTCGCCGCCATCTTTGCTCCATGAGGCCTCACCACCTCACCCCCTTGCCCTGTGCTCCCTCTGCCCCCCACGACTGCTTTATCTGCCTAGTAAAACACGTCTTGCTCTTCAATCCCCAGCTCCAGGAGTTTTCTTCTGAAGCAAGTTTCCCAGGCAGAACCCACCAGGCCATTGGATCCCACACCCCAACCCCTAACAACCCATCTTGGCATTTATCACTAAGAGCCCTTGGCCTGCATGCCAGTCCCTCTCCTCCAGAAGACCACAGGGCAGGACAGGCTACTCAACCCAGTGCCACGTGCCCAAAAGATATTGAAAGAGTAAGCATTCTGTCAAGCATTCAGAACGAGGACTAGATTTAATAGAGCTTGGGGCACGCGGGATCTTCTGCCGCGGCACGCGGGCTCTTTGTTGTGGCGCGCGGGTTCTCCCAAGTAGTGGCCTGCAGGTTTTTAAAATTTTTTCTCTCTATAGTTGTGGCGTGCGGGCTCCAGAGCGCGTGGGCTCTGTAGTTTGTGGCGCTCAGGCTCTCTCATTGAGCCGTGCGGGCTCAGTAGTTGTGGCGTGCGGGCTTAGTTGCCCCTCAGCATGTGGGATCTTAGTTCCCCGACCAGGGATCGAACCCATGTCCCCTGCATTGGAAGGCAGATTCTTTACCACCAGACCACCAGGGAAGTCCCTATTTTCATTTTTGAGATGAGAAAACTCAAGCACAGAAAGGTTGAGACACTTACTCAAGGTCACACAGCTGGTAAATGATTGAGCCAGAATGTAAGCCCAGGCAGACCAGGGTCAGACCCTACCTAGTCCATTTGACGAACCCAGAAGATTGTTTCAAAGCTTCCCTTCCTGTTTTGTGACAGTGCAGTGTAACAAGAGAGCCATGGACCCTAAGTAATGAGATCTGGGCTCAGCAACAAACCATGATTTAGAAAGTGCATAAATGAAGGGTTTGGGTTCCATGAGTTGAAGTTCCCTTTTCTCCTCAAACTTCTGCTGTCTCATTACATCACTGCCCCTCTGCTATCCCATTGGTTCCATATTCTGTCCCAATATTGTATTCCTTTCTGCTCCGACCAACCACACATTAGTTCCGCTTGACAGCGGAATGACCATCATCCCAAACTTCAAACAGCCCCTCTCTCAGTTGTATCTTATTCTATTTTTATCATTACCATTAGTCTCTTATTTGCAGGATCCAATTACTATTAATTTATATGAGCCATACAAATTCTGTTGAACATAGATTCCATGAGAATCTGACTGTATGTTTATTGAAACCTGCTGTCCATCAGCCGAGGAATAAGGGTGTTTTTGCTGGTTTAATATAGTTCAAGTTCTATTAGGACAAATACCATGAATAAGGCTTCCCTGGTGGCGCAGTGGTTAAGAACCTGCCTGCCAATGCAGGGAACACCAGAGCCCTGGTCCGAGAAGATCCCACATGCCACGGAGCAACTAAGCCCGTGCGCCACAGCTACTGAGCCTGCACTCTAGAGCCCGCGAGCCACAACTACTGAAGCCTGCATGCCTAGAGCCCGTGCTCCGCAGCAAGAGAATCCACCACAATGAGAAGCCCACGCACCGCAATGAAGAGTAGCCCCCACTCGCCGCAAATGGAGAAAAGCCCACGTGCAGCAATGAAGACCCAATGCAGCCAAAAATAAATAAATAAAATAAATAAATTTAAAATAAAATCTAAAAAAAGAAAAAGTACCATGAATACTGGTATCTTCCACTGGCAAAATCCATTATACCAGCAAGAGCAGCCGTATTTAAGGAAGAAAACTATTTTTCTCAGTTTATTTTTCTTGGAAAATTCTTTCAAAAGAGGGTTAAAGGCTAAAAAATAATAAATGATTACACAGCAATAATGAATTAAGAAGTTATATAAATAACCTACTTTGTAAGGCAGCTGAGAAAGTATCTGAGTATGACTTTAGGGGTTATTCCTTTGTC